GTTCGGGGTTGTACTTTTTTAATTTGATTCAGAGATGGGTGTGGCTGATTCCATTCTTCCACCTGTTAATTCAGTTCCAAGATATTTTATCCTACAGTTGATGTCCTTTCACAACTTTCGTCGAACTTTGTTTTATAATCCTCCTGTGCTTTATTGATGTCGTTTTGTACTTCTTTGACGTCCTCCTATATATATATTTTTTTCCAGTTTTGTTCTAATAATTCTTCTCTACATTTCCTATAACGTCCTCGATTTTTGTCTGTAATTCTTCTATAAATATTCATTCATGCAATTCCTCTCTTACATTCGTGACTCTTTCTTCTTATTCTTATAATTGTTTGTAAATTTCTGTGCCTTCTTTTAATTCTCTTTAACTTAGATCTTCTATTAATTATACCTTACATCTCTATTCATCGAAACACGAACTCAATATTCAAGTAACTGAGGTAACGTCGTTCATTTAATAATCAATCAACCATTGTTAAGATACTCAAAGATTCAAAACTCTCCAGCATGGCTCGCTTTTTTTATATCCCTGAACTTGTTTCTTAAACTTTCAAGAAGGTTCTAGTAATTAGGCCACGTGCTCATCACGTGACGTAAAAAACTCCCTCTAAAAAAATCATAGCCAACAACAATGTACATACAGTAATGGTATATTACATTTTGGTTTGATATTACTATATAATTTCTCTGTAAAATACAATACCACATCTGGCATACTTATGTACAAACATGCAATTTCACTGTGAAATTACAATCTTTATTATATCAATAAACCTTAAGTGCCATCTTGTCGTTAAAAGGTGACTGATGGTAAAGTTTGTAAATGCTGTCAGCAGAGATAGTTACCTTCTCAATGTTATACAATTAAGACGAAGAGAATATAACTAAAATAAACAATTGTCTATAATACTAAACTTATGTTTACACCACATGCAAGTTATTATGATGTAATGTGTAGCTAAGCAAAGATGTACTTAGACGGTATATTTTTGTATTCAAAGATTGGCAGTTTATCAGTTAAGACTAATTTAACGCAATTGATCCAGAAATTCTTTACCGTTGTAGTTTTTGTCGGTTGACTGATTGTTTCAAGAGTTTGTACAAACCTGCATAAACGTTACCTGCAAATTGCTGTTCCTAATTCCGAATTGCTAGCTAAGTGACCATTCAACAGTATCCACCGCCTATCGTTAGGCTACTTTTATCAGATCATATGGTAAGATTTCATACTCATTCTTAGAGGGAATTCACGTTTCCAAAGATCGGAACGTGTTTTTCGACGAATCCCAAATAATGAATCCTCGGATTCACAGTCTGGGCACGCTAGATTTGGGCCACGCCCGACCACTTGTCGATTGATAGTCTAACAGTGGTTCGGAAGATCTCATAAAAGTTAGACTATTATATTTCATGGGTGTGGGCAGTCTTTATTTGATACGAACTTCTGAAAAAAAAAATGCCTAGAGAAATAATGTCCACCAAAATTATATCCAACTGTGTATATATGCCAAGGAGAAGAAAATGCCTAGAGTGGCTATACAGAGAAAATATCCAGGATGTTTTTATACAACATGATAACTTGAAGCTATCATGCATTAGCTCTTAGATCAACAAATGAAGAACAAATATAAATATGTGGGTGGGTGTGGATGCAGGGGGTGTGTGTATAAACCAAGTATTCAGGAATCACGGTTTATATTAAGATGGAGAAACTGGAAATGTGCTTATTTTTCTCCAGAATTCCTTGCACCTCTAACTTCTAAAACATGAAAACGCCTACAATCGAACTGGAGGTGATATAATAATTTAAAGACGTTTCTATTTATCTTAATGACAATACGGGCATTTATTTGTTTCAATAAGCCACAGATCGCAAAATTGCGATAAATACGTTCGTTTTATTCGTATTAAGTTAAGCACAAAGCTACACAATGGGCTATCTGTGCTCTGCCCACCACGAGTATCGAAACCCGGATTCTTGCGTTGTACGTCCGCAGACATACAGCTGTGCTACTAGGGGGCGCAATAAATACGAGATAAGCTCTTGAGAGTTTAAATAAGTGATTTTTCTTCACCTTCAAAAAAGGTTGGAAATTCCCTTTCGTCAAATGTTAATTCATTCATTATATATATATGTACTACGGAATTTGTGACATTTTAGGAAGTTATTCTACTTATGCTAATAATTTCATTTCTGTTAAGATTTGGTGACAAGTTTTGTGGATGGCAGATTGTTATTTTTTGTTTAGGCGTGAGAACTGGGTTTTCAGATAACTAGTCAGTGACCTCGATGGGTCGATTGACCTTGTTTTTGTCAGTTACTCCCATGTTCTTGAAAGTGCACAAGTTTTTTACTGATAAGGTAACCCAGTAAAAAAACGTAATCTTAGATTTTGAAGACACTTACGTACCCTCCTAAAATTATAACCACCTTCAGGTGTATAAATAACTTTGACACTTTTTATAGGATATTCTGAAGATACCTGACATATATATCTGTATTCCATTTTATGGAACTCCCACAAATTTAAATTACAATTTTATTAATAATGTCTTTTTGATGCAAAAAACATTACTAGTTTTCAGTATTATACATTTCATTGATATTACTATCGAGATCTACAGATTGGCTGTATTGGCACGTGAGGTCTTAATCGCTGTGGTTAGCAGTTCGGAATAGACAGACAATTTCCTTAGAAGGCGAATTCGAACACTCCTACGGTTCAACAGAACTTGGCAGAATTCCTAAGCAACCCGAGTGGCGTCTAGGAAAACCTGATGCCTTCAGGCAGTGACCTATTGTCTCGCGCAGAAACTACGGTGTTTTCAAGAGCCAGCGAAATCACAAAAAGATACTCAAATTACAAAAAAAAATGTTATGTTTCTAAAAGTTACAGTATCGAATTTGTATTAAATCAATACGTCAAAATAGATAATTTAAAGAAAAGGATTTTAATGACTTTTTGTTGTTTTCTGGTAGCCTACCGACAAAATTAGCATAAAGAATTCACAAACTTCGAAATTTATAAAACTGTGAGTATTTCATGATATACTCGTGCACTTCGTGTGTCACAGTTAACACTAAAACTTGTTATATTTATCGATCGATGGAGAGATTAAAAATCTTCATTCTCCCGCTCATTTCAGAGAATATTTCTATAGAACATGCAGAGTTAGAAAAAAGATAAAAACCGGTTTTCTCAACCGTTAAAATTAAATTGTCACTTAGTTATAAGAACTGAGCGCGCGACTGTTTTATATATATATATATATATATGTATATATAATTCACTTCT